GGGGGGAGGGGCCACTTTGTTGGGGGGTGGGGCTACCGTGTTAGGAGGGGTAACTGTGTTGTGTGTGGAACTTCCGGGTTGGTCTTTTGGTGTTGGAGGAGGCTCCAGTGCTGCACTAGGAGGCAAGTCTGAAAAAAAAAGGAAAAAGATGTCAATCTAGTTTCTTCCAAAGGCAACTGGGCTATATCTAAATTTAAAAGTTTACCACTTTTATGGCTTGGTCATCATGTCAGTGCTTGGTAATGTTGAGTCCATCGATATCCAGATTGCTAGATACAAATCTGACAGTAAATAGAACACAAACAGAAAGAAGTGAATAATATGACACAAGATGAAGCTTGATAAATGTATCATCTGTTGTAGACACAGACTCATAACAACAGGTAAGACTGACCTCCATGTTCAATAAGGATCTCCAGTAAATCATCCATCTGCTGAGATCGCATGGTCTGGGAGATTGTAGTCTGGGTCCCAGACACAGTAGAGGGCTACAGAAGAAACAACAAAAGTCTTTTAGACAAATATATTGCAGAGAAAAACACATAAAATTTACTAAAATCTCTTACAAATGGTACTGTTGCAATTATCAGTCTTACGGTATATGAGCATAGATGAAGGTGATGACAAAAGTGTTGAGTGCTAACCTGTGTGGAGGACACATTGAAGTTGTGGACTCTCTGTCTGAGGGCCTCCTGGTAGTTGGGTGGAGGGGCCATCTGGTCTAACATGGGGTTGGTTGGTGAGCGATGCATGAAGGTAAACTGAGGCTTGGCCTCCACAGGCGAGCTTGGTGTTGACATTGACTTGTTCTCGGAGGTTGCAGCAGGGTTTGGTGCTGTGAAGCGGAATGGCTGCATGTTGGGCGGTGCGCTGGGGAAGGACTGGATATGGCCAGCCTGTTGTTGTGGCTGCTGGAAGAAGGCGACAAGGTTGGGTTTGATGTCCTGGGGAGGCAGTGGGGGTTGGAACTGATGTGCTTGGGGCTGGGCCTGGCTCTGAGGTGGCTGGGCCTGAAGGAATTGGTTTCGGTTAAGGAACTGGTTTGAGAACTGCTGCTGCTGTTGTGCTGCTGCTGCTGCTGTGGTGACGGTTGTTGTTGTTGTTGCTGCTGTTGTTGTTGTTGTTGCTGCTGCTGCTGCTGTTGTTGTTGCTGTTGCTGCTGCAGTTGCTGCTGCTGTTGTTGCTGCAGTTGTTGTTGTTGCTGCTGCTGCTGTATCTGAGCCACAGTCTGGCCCTGCTGCTGCTGGAGCTGCTGGAGCTGCTGCAGCTGTTCCTGGTGCTGCCGGATCTTCTGCTGCAGCTGCGCGTGGATCTGCTGCTTCTGCTGCTGGCGCTCCTGCTGGTACTGGATCATGGCCAGCTTCTGCTGGTCCTGCTGCTGGTTGATCTGAGCCTGGACGGGGTTGAAGTTCTGCGGGGCGTGCGGCATGAGGTTGGGAGGGGGAGGCGGAGGGGGTGGTGGAATGCTGTCCCCCTCCTGCTGGGACACAGGGGGGAATTGGAAATGAGTTGGCTGGAAGGTGAGTTGCTGGTGCTGCTGGATTATTCTCTGGGACATCTCCAGCTTCCTCTGCAGTTCCTCGATGGTTTTCTGCTGCTGCTTGACGATGTCCTCCTGCGACTGTGGGGAGGCGTCCAGCAGGTCCATCATGTCAATGTCCAACTCAAACTGGCTGTTGCTGTTCATGTCTATGTCCATGGGGGCAGTAGAGTTTGGTCTGGACAGTCCTGGAGCTGCCTGCCCCTGCGCCCCGGGGTTTTCCTGGCCCTGCTGCCCTTGAGGAATGAGACCATGGAATGATGTAGGCTGCTGAGCCATGGTGTCTATGGTACCGGATGTGGCGATGACAGTCATTGTGCTCTGACTGCTGTCGTCGCTGGCACTACTGGGGAGTCCCATGGTAGAGTTCATGGATGTGCTGAGCATGGAGCTGGACTCCTCAGTGATGCTCTGGGCAGGCTGGAGCGGCTGGATGGTCGGCAGTGACAGGTTCACGCTGGCAGGCTCCCCGGCCGTGGTGGTGGTCAGGGTCTGTCCCATGGTTACAGGTGCAGTCGTGATGTCGGCGTAGGGTTTGAGTCTCTCCATTAACTGGTTCTTGGTGCCTGATACAGGCAGACCCCGGGCTCTTGCCTCTTCTTTCAGCTCTGCCACCTACAATGGAGGCAAAGGGAAGTCTGTGAGTGAATAAAAGAAGACCTGCGGAAATCTAAAAAAGTAGCATATTTTTTCCAATCTGCAGATGTCACAAAGAAAGGCTAGTAAATGAAGGATCACATACATTGAGCAAAAGCTGTTGACCATATTTTCTTCTTTAGAACACGTTTTTGTTTCAAATGCTTGTGTTGTCAGTTCTCCTTACCTTCATGTCTTCTAGGTTTGACAAGCCCCCTTTCTTCCCAGTTGTAGTAGTTGTACTAGTGTTGCTGGCCTGTGTCGTGGTGACAGTTGTGCTGGTTGGCAGTTTCTCACTAGTTTTAGCTGGTGCAGGCTGGATGGGCTGGTACTGCTGTCCATACTGACTCATGACCTGCAGAAGCACATGGAAAAAACATGGCATTACTTCAAGTTGAAAAATAGAAAGGAAGTTGTCACGAAGAGCTCAACTCCTTCCAGAAAGGACAAATTTGCAGATGTGCACGCCAAAGGAATGGGATGTGTTAATCTGGCTACTGCAATGCATTGTGGGTTACTGGACTGAGCTGAGAAAAGCGCCACCATGCAGACTTGTCTGGTACTGGCCGGAAGAGACTCAGTCCAAAAGGATCAGAAGTGTCTAAACTCACAAAATGAAATTCCAGTGGCTGGGAAGGGTTACTGTCCTCAGCATCCTGGGTTTGTTGGTGCTCAGCCCAAAAGTGCTGATCCTGAAAAGGACAGCTGTTTGGTCATTCACATTTTGTGCCCACGGAACGGCAAATGGCAAGCTTAGACACAGTTAAAGACAGAGAGAAGGGAGCAGGATTAAAGTAGGGGATATACAAGGGGGTCTGTGTCAAAGAAATCACACTGTAGAATGTCCAACAGCACTGCTCATTAAGTGTATGGATGTAGGTGACTCATGATCTGCGTGCTGACATGGATCTTAATGCAGACGTCTCAGCCTTGTACACCAGAACAGACTGAGAAATCACAGGTTACTTGTCAGACCATACTGCCCGCCTGGTGCGCTTCCACAGCTGTTTCCTTCTGCTTTGGGGCAGTATAATCTGATCGGAAGTCACCTACAGAGACCTCTCCATGAGTGGAATGTAATGATGTGATATGATCGCAGTCATATTTGTAATATTCATCACTGTACATGTACTCCTACAATTGCTGTAATCATATTTGTCAACATATTATCATTGTTTACATTTTAATTGAACATAAAAAATGCTGCTCTACATATTTTCCTTACTATTCAAGAGTGATCTTTTTTCTAAATGTAACAAATGTTACATTATACATAATCAGTACAGTTTAAAATGTAGTTAATCGCGAGATTCACATGTCCCCACACGTCTGTGTGTGCTGCAGCCCTGAGAGCTGCTGCAGACCCAGTTGCCATGACAACCCACCTGCAGCTGGAGGAAGAGCTGCTGCTGCTGCAGGAGGATCTGGTAGCGGGTGTCCATGGCCGGCTGCGGCGATGGCTGGGCGTTCTTCTGGTTGGGGGGAATGTACTGGTGATACTTCAGCTTCTTGGGCTTGGGCGGCTTCTCCTTCTGCTTCTTCTTGGAAGGACGTGGAGATGCCGACACCTGCTTACCACCCTGCAGGACAGACAACAGCAGGATCAGTAAGCAGCCTAACATCAACACTATGAAGAACCATGTCACACTTCAGAGAGCCACGTGACAAGTCTTACTAGGTCAGTCTATTGAAGAAGATCAGAGTGCCTGGTGGAAAGCTCTAGGTGGAACAAAGGTTAACTTTAAACTATAAAGAAACATTCAATTCATATTACTAATGAACCATAAACTGTTACTGTAGATGTACGTGGTGTGGGTGTGTCGTACCTTGCCTATCGCCTGAGTGGTGGAGGTGCTGGTTTTCAGACTAGCTGCGCTCAGGGGTGACGTCACGTTCACCATCAGCCCGTCCCCCGTGGTCGGCAGCGGGTAGCTCGCCATGACCGCCGACGTCGCCACGGGCATCTGGTCAGGTTTGTACGAGATGACGGTCTGCGCCGTCGGGGAAGACGACTCGTTCATCTTGTAGAGGATGGGCGCGGTGTCGGGCGGGGAGGGCACGCCCACCGACCCCTGCGAGGACTGGGACTGCTGGGACATGGGCTGGTCCAGCTGTGGGGGGGACATGCTGTCTCCGCTGTCCTCATCCAACAACTCAGGCTTCTTGTACTCCAGATCTGAGGGAAACACACAACAGCACTTTTACATCACTTATACATGGCACAAAGGTCACTGCAAACTGAAACATCAGGCTACTCCTGGATAAAAGTATGACGAACAATTCAGTAACTGGATTTAGACTAAAGTTACCTGAACTACATAACTATATTCTATACACCACCCTGCTATTGTGGCTGCTATTTTTCTTTGTAGTTTGCAATCTGTTGTTGTTGGCTTAGACAGTGACACCACTGATGACACCACGCTCATGACAGATGACAATGTTACCACACACAGAGACCCCCCACGAAGCAACCATGACATCCAGTCTGTTTTAGGAACAGAGGTGGCCATCTACAATTATTGAGACTCTTAAGGATTCAAGGCAAACAACTATGGAGTTTTGCAGGGGCATCCATATGGAGGATCTAGACATGTTTTGCGATGGTGATGCAATGAGAGCTTTCTTTAGGCAACCAGAATCAATAACACCTGTTCCCTGGCTTGTCACAGTTGCTTGGCAACAGCTGACCCTGTTGCCATGGCAACCCAGACACGCCCACATTCCAGGTGCTGGTGATGCCTACACTGTACACCCTCCATTCCGTCACTCGAAATGAGCCTGGGGCGTTCACTTGGCTGTTTTGGAATACGAGACTCATTCTTCAAAAACAAAATAGGAGCCAACAAGTCTCCATAATGGCAGTTCCCACCCTCCCAGTCATACACCCACAGAGTAAACCGATATCAGGGGGCACTTGCTGCCATCAAAGATACTCTAAAAATGACAATTATTTTTCCAGCCGTCAATGAAGATCAGCTATATTTATCAAGTGTCATTATATTTAGCAGTGTCAAATTCTTCACTCCTGTGACCGACATGATTTGGGCTCATTGGTAAACCTGTCACGCACACTTGTTGCGTGGCGTTGTCTGATTTCTGCACTAATCAGCAGTACGTGAAAGTGTTTCCAGGACAATAATTGGGCTAAATTCCTCATGCATACAGCAAATGTGCACAGCTGAATAACCAGAGCAAGGACAGCATACAAGCAATATTTGTCCCATCTAAAACTTTCCTAATTACATTAACCATAGTCTCATACCTTCTCTACATGCCTGTCAGTCTCGGTGGAAACAACCTCACGTACAAACACTTGTGAGCTAACAAATGTAATTCACTCTCTATCTCTCAACCCATCGTGATATTGTTGATACTTGTGTATTCCTTATATAATGTATAATACACATGTCATCCTGTGTATTTGCCATCTATACAATTCTCAGATCTTGTTCTGAAACATAAGCTCTCTACTCCCCTTTTGACTGCACCATGAACCCTACAGAAGAATCTAGCAAGTGTCCTACTAATGGTATCAGGGTTGATGACTCATCTTTCCCCTCCCCTCACCCTGGCCCGGCTCCATTACAAACATAGATGCATGCCTACGGGTCTTGTGGTAACAATACATCTCTGCCACTGTCTGCTGTGGACACGTACTAGGCAAGCTCTTCTCATACTTAGCAATTATTGGTTGTAAAATATGACAGTGATCGACCCAAATGTATGACTATACAGTATGCACAGTTTTGGGGACAAGAGTCAATTTCTTTTCTATAGTTGTCTAACTGACATAAGTGACAAGCAAAAGTGTGGTTAACACAAGTTAACATTAATAATGTGTATTATAAGTACCTTCTTCAAACCACAAGTCATGGTTTTGCTGCCCTCCCTCCTCATGGTTCTGCTGAAGTACACAACCTTTGTGGGGAGGGGGGCAAGAGATTAGTTACCTTCAAGTCAGACCTGTCAGAGTGTCACACATGGTTTTTCCTTCTTTTCATTAAAACAGACAATGTCATAACGGGCATGGTGTAAAACATGTGTGCAGGGGCAGAAGAGACAGATTTTGTTTCATAAAAAGGAGGATATTGAAAAACGTGAGGAAAAAAAGCAAAAACATCTTTGTAGAGAGGAGGAAAAAACAGTTTTCTGAACTTTTTGCTGAAAAGTACATGTTTAGGAAAGTGGCTAGAAAGGCAAAGGAAGAAAGATGGGTGGGTCATAGCTGAGGGATTTTCAACAAGTTGGATACGATCAGAATGTTGCACAACAATTCAAACAGAAACATGATGTAAATGGATAGAGAAGAAATGATAAGAAGTTGGACAGGTCTGTCGAGAACGTATGGTCATGCATGTTAGTCCTGTATGTTACTGAACAACAGTAGTGTGTCTATAGATCTTGCTGTTTGTCACTATGCAGGGAAATTCAGGAGACATCTCTAGAAAAACCTATAAGCCAAGAATCTTGAGTGAAATATTAGCAATGCAAAGCTGTACCTATGAAGTCTTGATATTGCGTACAGTAGCAACACAGAAGTATGACATACAGGTATACTGCGCAGGTTTTTCCAGTGATATTCCCTTTAGAAAGACCTATTTCAATATGAAAAACATACTATTCTGTACATTTAACTCCATCTCCAACCAGATAAGGGAGGTAAAATAGTTTTAAGTCTGTTTTTTTCCTGGGTATTTCCCCTACATGATGTTTTTTTCCTCCCTCCTATCTGCTAGGAGATGGCTTGAGCTGGTGTCAATGTGGTACGTACCCTTCAAGGCTGCCTGTACAGCGCTGTCCCCTAACACGTTCTTCTCTACCAGTTCTAGTGGTCCCGGGCGCTGGGCGAGCTTGTCGTTCAGGTCATCTGCCAGACGTGCACGTTTCAACTTGTTCTGGTTAGCTTGCAGGGACGGGGCGATGTTCGTATCTAGAAAATACAAACATTTGTTGTATAAGCACAAAGTACGAGCTAGGGCTGTTCCAGAAATCACTAATTCATATGGCCTCCTGGTTCACTAATAGTAAAGGTCAAGGAACTGGACGGTCATCGACTTGAAATCCTCATTTGCATAACTGGTCAGGTACTGACCAAAACACATCCTGTGTAGGAAATCCCCACTTTTTATGTCAAGAGTTTGGGAATCCGCAGGTTTCCTGTGGGATGGGACATTAGAGTATTTGTTGATGACATCTTCATCACTTGGTCCAAATGGTTCGTTTCAGTTTTACGCAGAGAGGACATGTCACTGACGTCACTGACAGAGACCGTCCGACCTTATGTAATGTGGATGTTTGGAGAAGTGGGAAGATTCAACACTTAGCTGATAAGCACCTGATCTTTGTGTTGGTTTAGGGTAAGTCACTGTTGTCTAACTCCTACCCTTCCTAAAGTGGTGTAAATTCCGCTTGACTCCACTTCAAATAAATTCCCTAAGTCAGGTAAATGAAAGTATGCTACACAACCAGCAAAAGGTGCTTTCAACTTAGAGAAATGTTTATTCTGGCACGTTATTGAGAAATCTTCTCCTGGTCATAACATTGTCTGCTGTCATCTTTCTCCCACAAGCAGGAGATTTGGCTGGACCACAACATTTCCCCAGACTTACCTGACGACAGCCAGATTAGGATGTTGGGGGTTAGACAATCTGTATAATCCCTGAAAATGGCAACAACTGGACGCGTGAAAAGGGTGAGTCACGAGAAAGGACACGCTCCACTCACCCTGCAAGATGTGCTGCTGGATCAGCTCTTGTCTGTCTGGTCTGAGACGGATCTTTCGCTGGAGCAAGTCTCCCGTCTGAGGGGAAAATTGGAGAAAAGAGACTGTCATGTTCACCTTGAGTTTATTCAATCAATAGTACAGAGTCTGGCAGGCAGATGAGACTTAAGAGTCTGTTCCACTTGTTAATGTTAGCGATTCTTTCCAATAATTGGGCTGTTGCTGCCTTTTACAAAAGTTATTCATACTCAGATGCTCACCTTAGCTCTTTCCAAGCTCTTCATCTGTTCATGGAAGGCAATAGGTGACTTGAGGGCTGAAAGAAATGACAAACACAGATTATCACACTGTAACTAGCAGGTCTGGTGTCTACACAAGTCAAGGAGACTGGCTAAACCCTGGATTAACCCAGCAAACTTTCTACCTGACAACAACTCTTCAGCTATAATTTATTTACATAAACACTGCCTTACAGGGTCTCTTTTGCTAAATCTAATGAGACTGGGAAGTTTTCCGGAAGGGCACAACTTTAAGATAAAAATCCTGTTAAAGGTTTCCTGGAGCCAATAAACTCCTTGAATGAGATTGGGGCAGACCAAACAAGGGTCTCCAAGTTCATCACTCACGCCTTGGCACCACCGTATGTTACAACCTGTTCACCTCATTCTATCTTGTAAAACTGGGGATTTCTGCAACATCAACTTTTTTTGCCTGCCTCATGTTTCAACTGAGAGCTTAGACTGAAGTCATAAACTAGGCATTGGATAGATACTGAAAGCCCAGCTGTACTGACCCTGACCCTGACTGGACAGGGAATTAATACTGGCACAGAACAGGCAAGCAAAACAAAGAACTGATCCTTAACACAACAGGCTGTAACCAGAGATGGCTGTGACATCATCTTGATTGACATGATCATACTTCTTTTGATCCTCTTCATCTGATTACTGAGGCATTCAGGAAGTATCCCTATCCCACACTGTTGTTTAGTTACTCCAGTTGCTGTGTGCTCCCAGACTTCTGAAGGATTCTTCCGGGTGTTTGTTTGCTGCTGAGGGAATCCTTAAGTCCCTACATTGCCCCTATACCATTTCAACACCTCTCCTTTTGCTTATTTTCGTATTTACCCTGAGACACTTGGTCAGACACTTATCTTGTTGGCAGCCTATCGCATGAAGACTGTTAGCACAGGATGTCATAACACATACTCATGGGTATCTTAAGTTTACTTTGCCAAACCAGGGGACCATTTGAGACTCTATGATAGTATGAAGCTGCTTTATAAAGGGTCTTTGCTTCTTCCCAACCTTCCAACGACTGTGAACTTCACCATATGAGCAACTGTGTCATCTTGTCGGGAGAAACGACCCTCGGTGACAGGAGGTCTTCAGAACCAGCCGTGTCGACCTGCCAGGAACTACATGTCTGACATACAAGTTACACGGCTGTGTCTCCTATATATAGTGTACCACATTTGCTTTGGATCCTGTCCATGATGTTCACTTCACAGCTAGAAGTCTCCGTGATTCACACAGACTCAAGCTGCCCTGATCTAGTACCCATGATGAGCTGGCACACTTGTTGTCTTACTGTAAGGAGACGGCTTAAGACAAGGAATCTTATCTCCTTGGTGCGGCTCTCGTCTTCATGCCTGGACTTCCTACATCCTCTCCGACCAGATAAAATGATCTCAGGTCAAGCGTGACCCAATTACTCCAATTATACTATCATTTTTGGAAGAAAATTATCATCAGCACATTTCTTCTATTATCACATTGTCATAGTCGTGAGATGACAATTTTTCTACATGCAGTGATTGAGTGTTCTAATAACATGTTTGCAATGCCCTCTCTAACACTGAGTCTGAGGGAAAGTGACTCTAATGTGCAGTTGTAGTTGTGGCTTCCTTATGGTTGGTGTGTCCTCCCAGGGGGTTAGGGATTCCCTTGAGGATGGGGATTTCCCCCAGGGGTCCAGCCAGTCTCCTGCCACAGTCTTCCTGTCTGGGCTTCCCCTTACTAATCCTCAACATCATAATTTGTCACTCAGGGTTACAACCTGCCATCACCTGTTGTCCCTGCCTCAAACTGTCCTGGCATTTCTTCAAACTGGCCGAGCACTATGCCATATAGATGTATTGGCCTGGCTCTTTGCCCTCACACAAAAATGTTTTTCTGGTAAGCTACATTTATTCCACTTCAAGTTGTGCCAACTGAAAGTTTTGTATGCTGAGACAATGTTGTAACACATTCCCCATGACCACTGTCAATACATGTTATAGTTCCAACACATCTCAAACCTGCTGTGTCAATACTTTTTAAGTTGATGGACCCATTGTTTGATCAGCACACTAGCCAACTATTCTAATTTTCCATTTCCCCAACAAACTCCTTGGAATTTCTACTGGGAAACTCTTTACTGGACCGGAAACACACAATGAACAGTGTAAAGGCAGTACATCACTAGTGCTTATCAGTTTTCCTCTTTACAAACATCAAATGTAATACTTGTCAAGCGAGCAACCTGCTGGCACCTGTTTGGGCTCCCTCACACCAACCCAACACCATCATTGATCACAGCTCCCCAGGAACAAATTGAAACTGTATGATCATTCCTGCCCTCTGTGGAATGGGAGGAATGACCAACCAAAGGGCGGGATTCTCAATACCCTTGACTTTGATTTCAGCAAATTGAACACTACTGGGGCAGGTTTCAGACTCGTTCTCACTTCTTTGGTTTACAGTTTCAAGCTGCCAGCTTGAACAACAATTTCATAATTCCTTTTCCTATAACCTTACATTGTCATAATGTATTTATGTTTAGGCGATCTTGTAAAACTGGACTGTACAGTACTTACGAGGCATGATGCCCTGGTTGACAAGAACATCTCTTGGTCGCCGTGACAACAGCTTTCTCTCCAGCGCTGTGAATAGAAGAGTCAAAGGTCAGGTCTGTCAGGACACTCATACATTTGCTATCCTGGAGCCAAGCTCCAAGTATTTGAGAAGAATGTGAAGAAGAGTAAGATATCCTTGACTTGAAATATAATCTGTAGAATCGCTGTGAACATGATGATTTCCTGCTACTTTCACATAGTGGCAACACTTTGTGGCATAATGATGTGGCTTGTTGCTAGGAATTCATTATGGTCTGCTTTAATCTTTTTTTTCACCCGCATGTAGCAGGACCGTAAACTTTTCAGTTGTAACTGAACACTAAAATTCAGTGGCAATATTCAAAGCCACACATTGTTAAAATCACTATCTGTGCCTTCTTTAACCTTTATCCTGCTGACTTTGCTGACTACAGCATACTGTAGGTCAGCAGACATGGGGTTTAGTCAAGTTGAAGTCCTCAATCAATTATATCACCTACCAGACTATCCATTAAACAAAGGATATGGATTGATCATACATTAACAGCATGTAAACTAAAAACATGTATCTATAAGTTTTGGTTTCCTACGTTATTATATAGGAATTGCTGTGATGGTCAAGCTGGTATCCCCACCTGACCACTGACACATTCTAGCCACATGTCCAGTGATGAGTGGAGGGACCGCCTCCTCCCTCTCCTACATCATTAACCTCAATTCACAGCCAGAAATTTCTCAATTTGGGAGGAGACTCCCCAAGATCAGCCAGGAATGTCCCTGGCACCAGATCTTATGAAGACACTAATAGGCTACTCCTCTGCCAATCCTATGATAAGGATGTGGACTCAACAACTTAAAGACTGTCACATGTGGTAATGACCTACAGTACACCTCCCAGGCTGAGGCCTTACCATTCACTTGACAATGGGACCCCTGGGCCCCCCGGGGAAAAGTTCTGACAAACTTCGTTTGCCCAGGTTTCTTTCAAGTCATGCCCTCAAGAGCTGCAATTCTTCTTTAACTACAGATGAGTATGGATGAGAAGAATGTCAGAGATAAGCTAATACCACTGGGTACCACTGCCGAGGAAGTTTTCTTGTTTTTCCTTGGGATTTGTGAAATTCTGGGTAGCCCAAAACCTCACAATGCACAGTGGCGAACCTTTGAAGATGCTGAGAGAAATGCACAGTGGACTTAGACTAATGACCCTGGATAGGGAGATGGGAGGGGCATGGATGAGAGAGAAGTCCACCCAAGCTTTGCCATCTGTAAACAGCCTGTGGAGACGGAAAAACTAACTCAGATGCAGTCCAGTGAGTCCACACAAATTATATCATATCACTAAGCACCTTGAATCTCCCAGACCTTTCTTTAATACGGTTCATAGATAATTTATAAGAAAAAGTCGAACTGTATGATGACCAAGATTTGGTGATTATAACACTTTGTAGACTTCAGTATGTACAGTTAGCAATGCCCAATCTGCTTGGAAGAACATGTAAAAACATGTAAAAATGAAGAATTTGTTAAAATTTTTATTATTGTCCTGAGGAGGAGTTCAAGGGCACAGTGATTTGATTTTGTGGGTGCAGCTGCCGACATGCCGACTGGCAGGAGAGTTCCTTATGGCTCCCCTGAAAGATGTGGATAGACTACAGGACGGCTGTCAATTAGCCGGCTAATCCAGCGAGCGTGCCAGGCAGTCAGCCAGCCACTGTTGTTTTGTGAGGAGATACAAGCGACAGAATGAGCATGTACTCAAAACAAAGATCAGAATGTACAATGCTCACTGGGACAACTTCAAAGCACTAAACCCATAGTTGGATTTGATAGTGATAAACACTTTCCTGTGTTGTGTCGGCTCCTCAGAAGTCCTGTTCCCCAGGCTATTGAGCGGTGATAAAGCATTGACAGCTTGCGCACAGCCTGAGTAACAAGACTCTTCCCAACAAGCCACCTTCATCGAGTTTTAAGTAACAAAAGAAGTAACAAAACAAAATTGAATTTATCAACTGTTGGAAGCACAAAGGAAATCATCCTCAGTAAAATTAAAAGTAACTTGACATTGCTTGAAGAGACTAAATTTTTGCTAAGAGTACTTCTAAGAAATCCCTAATGTATACAGTACAACATAATTTGGAGATAAGGTTCAAGAGGCTGGATTCAACCAAACACAGTGAGCACAACAGGTGAACCCAGTTGGTAATCAAGAAATGAACAGTAGCTGAAGAGCCATGGGTGCTTACCACTGGGTAAGTCTCTAGGGAGGGGAAGGCAGAGGCCAGATCAAAGGCCAGCCAGCAAACATCCCAGCTGGTTCCGAAAGGTAAAAGAATAGAATAACAGAACATTCTATTCCCCTTCTATTTCCAAATATTCTATTCTATAACTTAGTGTTGATTAGGTCAGGTAGGAGGTGGTGAATAGAGCAGTTTTGCTTACAATGAGTTTACTTCTCACACATGGCTGTGTAACCCAAATCCCAGCGTTTACTGAATAGTTGATGAGATTTTCTACTCAGCTGAACAATCAAAAACATAGAAGATTGTCAGTCAGACACTAATATTATTGTAACTCAATCATTATGATATATACCCGGGTACATGTAAGTAACCTGGTAGATACTGCCTTTCCACTCCATTCCTCTGTGATTCAATGTCAAATTGTAGAGCACATTTATTGGTGTCAAGTACAAAAGAAAAACGTAGGCCTATTCTTCAATACTGCAGAGAAAACAACGGGACCTGCAAAGGAGACCTCTCGACAAAGTGTGAGTTTATCTAGTGCGGCCTGTAGGTCAACAGTCTAGGACCCACATCAAAGACTCGCACACATCCCCTACAAGAAAACTGGAAACATGGACGTCTGCCTGGTGCTTCTGCCGACAGTTCGCCACTTTGGCATGGTGACACTACAAATATCCCTCCAACTCCCTCGAGGTATAGAGAATGACAACTTTTAGTGGAACTCAATCTTTGGGATTCAGAGCTGAGTCAACTAATGTGACTGGAATGACACAAATGGAGGGGTGAGTCGGGATGGGTCATCTGATGTCTATACACAATAATCTTGGCAATGTCCGCCATGGAAATAAAATACTCGATAATTTGAAAACATCTCTTGGTACAGATTCTCCAAGGTTCAGGATTAGAAAAGCCACATACTGTGATGTCTGAGAAGAGAAGTGGACAGAGGAGTTCATGGAGATAACTTGCAGGGCTGAAAGGGCAACAGGTCACACTTTTTCACAGAGACGTGCCAATGAAAGAGTCAATAAAACAAACTGACTGGCCTCAAAAGCTCTTTTTATGAGAAGGTGTTAAACTGCACTCTTCTGATCACGTTAGTGTGATGTCATTAAGGGGTGGGGACGGGGCGGTGACAACGTTTAAACATTCGACCTTCGAAAGCCCCCAGCAACACTTTTAAACTTAGCTTCTTTATTGTCCCTACGGCTCTGTTTACGCTACTAGGGTTGCAGCGGAAGCTGTGACATGCGCCAAGGCTTGCCTCTGGCAAGCAGCCTGTCCCACCCAGCAGGGGACCAGCCCTGAACATGTGATCTCAGCTGGGCGACACACAGCCTCAAGCCTCCAAGCTGTCAACCTGCCTTTCCATCTCTTATTCATGCCCACAGCTCACTCTCACTCCTGGTCATGCTGTGCTCCTTTTCAGATGATGAAGACAACAGAAAATGTTCTACAGTCTGAGCTGACTTCCAGATGACAATGACAAGAGTCCTTTGCACCCTCCTACCCTGAGAAGCATGGTAGCCACGGACTTGAGGCTTTCCCACACACAGGATCCAGTCCCTACATGGAGCTGGGAGAATCAATGAGAAGTTCCCATGTCGAAGGCTGTCCTTTCCTGACAGGGTCAGGCTACAGGAGACATGGGGTGGCCCCGACATGGCTAATTGATACTGGACATGTGGATGGGGTGGTGCTGACAATAGCACCGTGGTCACATAACAAACACAAACCGGAGACCTTTAAAAATGGAGGGCCTTCAAGATTTACTGCCTTCAAAACAAATAGACTGGGACCTTTAAAAATGCAGACCCTTTAAAATGTATAGCATGATGAAAACAATTAATAACCTTAAAATGGAAACCAATACCTGAAATGGCACTAAAATACTGCATAACGGAGTTAGGTTGAAGGTACCGTGAAGCTATTTGCTTTGATTGTAACTGATACTGAGTGCATGAAATAAAAAATCTGCGTGATAGTGCTGATAGACTAGAAAGACATTTGCCCAAATAATAGCAATGTCTACTTTCATTTTTCAACAACCACATATAGACTGTCAGATCAATACATTTTCTTAAGAAGTGTTTCAGGAAAAAAAATCTTGACTTATAAGATTGGGACACTTGCAAAAGAAGTAACAATACTGTATAACAGTAAAATGTCACACATTTCTTTCATTACAAGACATTTAATCACTATTCAGATAAAGACCAAGAACTAAACAAATTATACTGCATCTTGAAAAAGAAAATTGGCAAGGAAAGGACAGCCATGGAAAACCTACCATCTGATAAGACATGAACTTTGAAGTCTAGAGAAGTCAAAAAAGAAACTTTCATCAAGTGAAAAACTTTTTCTTGATGGTAACAAATAGGCACACAAAGTATTAAGTGAAAATAGTGAATATGACTAATTTAGAAATAAACTTTTCTGATGAACAAAGTAAACTTACATGTACAATGACATACAAAGCAGTACCAGTACATGAAACTACATCAAAGCATTTCCACAGAAACATATACTGTATACACAAAATGTATATGAAAAAGTTTTCCTCATGAAGGAGGCACAAAATTAGCCTCCGAAAGTTATTCTTAATATCCACAGGTAGTTGACAAGTGTGCTGACTGGATATGACAAACTAAACAGAGGGTGAGCCCTTTTGTTATTGCAGGCAAGCTAAACACTGGCACATGGTGTCATCCTATAAAAAGAACAAGGGCATCCCAAGTTTTAACTCTCTCCGAAAAGTAACGAGAGACGTTCCTTATTTTCTAAAATTTTGCGTCCCTCCTT